TTCCTGAATCTTTGTTTTGACACTGACAACTCCACCTCTTTGCCACTGCTTCTGATGTCGGGACTAACAGAAAATTGCTCGAGATCAGCTTCATATAAGCAACTTTATTGATCTCCTTCTCATTCTCTAGCTATAAAACTAGTTTTTGAATAATCGATTGTAGATCTGCCTTTGCGAAAAAAATTACTGGAATATTGACCATTGCAGATCCGCCTTCACGAATGAATCTTTTCAGATTATACATTTCAAAACAATGAAAACAGTAACAACACAATACCCATAAAAATCGCGAATGGAAACTCGTATCACCGGAATCCACTCTGAAGATGAATATATTACATTACATTATATTAATATATTATGCATTCTAAGAAGGTTATTTACTTGGCAACAGTCAGATAAGAGAAGCATGCTTGAGGGCGGTGTTATAGTTATGCTCGGAATCCAAACGGGATCTGGAGCCGCGCCTGTGTTCGAGCGCGGCAAATGATCCGTTGGAATCCAGAATATGCGCTACTATGACACCACCCGTACCGGTATGGCGAATTCTTGAAATCTGGACTTCCTGCGGCAAAACTGGAACTGGGGTTGCTGGAAACCTTCAGCGTCGCCGCAAAAAGACCAGACTTCAGAACATGGACATTGCCTCAGAGCATCTCTGTTTGAGAATATATATGACTGATAAAAGCTGTTGAATATATATGACTGATAAACCCGAGTTCCACGAAATCAGAATGGATTCGGCAATGTTTTGGCTGTTGAGACGATGACAGACTTGATCTGAGTGTAGTGATCGATGGCAGCTGTACCGTTTTCCCGCCCAAAACCAGAATCGCCATAACCACCGAAGGGAACGAACGGAGCTGAAACAGCAGTATGAGTGAAATTTTTGACTAGGTTGTTAAATCCAGAGGTTTCTTTTTTGCCACTGATTACCAGAGAGCAACAAGGAATAGTGTCCTACTTGAGTTCACAATATAAAATCCTTTAAAAAGCGGAGAGGAAAATCAGTTTCATCATAAATATCCTCTGTTTCACTGGAGTTGGCGGCTGGAGGGCAGGGCTTACGTCGATTAGAAAGCACGTACCCGAGAAAGATGCAGAGCCTGCACCTCCCACGCTTATGTGCTCTCCTATCGATCGAAGCCCCGCCCCCAGCCGCCAACTCGTGTGAAACAGAGGGGAAGTAGAAGCGAAAAATATAAGATGCCCTCCGGCAAACTGAAGCTTCATAAAATAAACGAGTGAATTTAGCTCCACTCATCGAATACGCAAACAAGACCAATGTAAAACTTACAAACGTCATTGAAAGTGTTTACAAAACAAGATCCAGCATGTAGACGATCAATTACACGGTAGGCACGACCCAAGTCTCTGAAAAGCACCCAGTTTTGGGACTTCAAAATATATTGAAAGGCTCACATACTTGGTAAATACGCCTCCAGCAAGACCCATCGTCGTATCATTAGCAATCTCTACAGCCTCATCTTCCGTATCGAAAGGGATTACAAGAAGCACAGCGCCGAAAATCTCCTCGCTAAAAACAAAAGGTATCTGATTTTAGGTGATGAAGCGATGAGATAACTCACCTGTAGACAACCATGTCCTTGCGGATGTCCGAGAGAATGCATGGGGATAGATAGAAGCCATCCTCAAGGCCGCGGACTGGGACTTCACTGCCCCCGCAAACCAATTTCGCGCCGGCTGCGACCGCACCTTCAATTTAAGAGATGAGAAAAAAACCTTGGCCTAACATAACAATCGTGTAACTCCTTATTTTCAGAAAAAGAACATACCACCCTAATGTGTTAAAAAACAAAATTAAGCCTAGCCTCTACGTAAGTGGTTGAGTGCTCTTGCTTGAAAGCTCAAACTAAATGGCAAATTATAATATAAAGAATAGCCTCTGTAACTGAGCTTCGTAGCGAATGCTTTCCAATCGCGTTGGAGTTTATTTTTGTGAGATGACTAAGCTCAAATAGTAGAATGTCCGGAATGATAGTGTCATATAATGATATTATTTTCGGAAAATCATAATCGGCATTTTTCCAAGATCTTCACCCTTTCTGCGGAGAGATGATTTGCCTCATCAAGCTACCACCATTTCCCCGGAAGCTACCTAGCAGCAGGCACGAACGAAGGCAAAAGGCGATTTGCAATGTAACTACGTTATAACACTTTTTCATAAGACGATTTTCTAGATATCTCATGAAAAAAAAATTACTGAAAGCAAATGACTGACAACTGATTTTATAACAAAAAATTTGAGTGCGGAAGGACAACAAAAGTGCTATTGACTAGTCAACAAATTGGAAAATGTGCATGACTAAAACCATCTCGGGCAAAGTCAATTCCCGTGTAACCCGATGCAAATGCACCACAGTCAGAGTCTCGCCATAAATCAAAGGATTTTGATTATGCATCAGTGCGTCACATGAAGGCATTCACACCATGACAATGCGGTTTTGTATTTTTTACAATTTTACATCAAGGTACAAAGCATAGGCCCTTATTCTCGTACCTACAAACTTCTTCACTAGCAAGTGTCTGGGAGACAGTCTTTTCGCCTAGCGATCTGCAGCGTCACCCTGATTTTGAGTCTCAACACGTCATACACGACGCAAACCTGGGGGTGTAGAACGATTCGCACGACCGTAATGCTTTCCACCCA